GGAAAAAAGGAGAGAAAGAGAAAGAGAGAATGTCAGGCGGAAGGGACGAGAATGGAGGAATTCTCTCTACCGTGATTTCTGCGCCAGGACGGACGTTTATCGCTAAAGTTACACGTATACGTATGGATGTACGCGTGTCATCGATATCGAATCGCCGCCGCCGCGCGCGGCGTAACGTCTGGCGAGAGATCGCCAAGAACCTGTCCTCAACGTCGGATTACCGACACGAATGGGCATGAAAACGTATCACCGGGGATCAGCGTGAATTTTGCTCGACGATAATACATATATCTTCCGCTAGAATAAAGTTCTCAGCGTTCCTTCGCGAATAATTCGCCGAGACACGCATCACAGATAATCGTTACGGCGACAGAAACGATTTTTATTGAAAAGGATAATTTATCTCTTTCGTCACACTTTGGATTAATATAATTTTTACTCGTTTATCATTATCATTTATCATCATATGACATGACAAATGGATCATGTCATAACTCTAATATCATATTAGATAATATTTATGATTTTTATTAAAAAGTATCGTGTTGAAATAATTATCATTTAAAATTTCAAAGTTAATTATATCGCTGCATAATTTAACCAAACAAATTGCATCGCATCGGTTCATCATTGCGTCGTGGATGCACAGAAGAGTAGAGAGAATGAGATAGGAGGACAGGATGCACAGTCCAGATAAAATTAAAACGTATAAAATTAATGTTGGAAAGCTGTTACTTCAGACTGACATTTATCCCAATATCAGGTTTCATCGGGGACGAAATTATCCGATATGACATGTCGGGAATATCCACATTCGGACCGACCTAACACACACTCCAAGGCCCGATTAAGCGATTGAACCCGATAACATGTAAATACGTTTGCCCAAATTACACGGTAATCCGTCCATCGCGAATCTAGGTCAAACTTGGGCAACCATGCGCGAGCCAAATCGAAACTCAAACGATTTACAATGGTGTAAGGGATTTGTCGTCGTAAAGTATCCTCGACCGAGATTATTATTCATGACACGCGAAATTACAGAAAAATTGTTATATGTATTGTAACACGCGAGTCGCGCGCGTGGAATAACATTTATCCGCAAGATATATCCTCTCTTTATATTTATCTCCCGTGTTAAATTTTAATTTTTTAAATTTTAAAGGAAGGTAGATATATACGACGATATATCTACGAGTATCGAGGATTCTCGGATTAAATGTTTCTTGAAAAACCCAATCCAGTCGCGTTCGAGATCCCGAATGTCGTTGTATCGCGCAAAACGTGGGTGTGGGAAAGAGGATACAACGATGAATAACGACAAGAGATTAATTCTGTTTGAACGGACTCCGTGAGAGAGAGAAAGAGAGCGAAAGGAAGGTATGCGAAACGAGAATGCCTCCTTTTTCGCGTTCGCCCAATTATGGAAGCGCTCGAGCGACATTGTAAGAAGGATCCCGGGCGCTACCGTGAATAAAGGACGTGCATTTCTTTCCAAGGACTTGGCCCGCGAACGTCGATCCTGAGGACATTCACCCGTGTTCTCATCATTCAAGACAAATAGGAGAATTTTGAAAGAATGTTTCTTCTCAAACGATTTACACGAATAGCGCGATACTTGAAAATAATTTGCATGTATTTTAATGAGTTGCTCTTAAAGAAAGAATGTTTCTTCAAGATCCTTATTTTTCAAGGAAAAAAAAAGAACGTTCGATAGCATGAATAGAAACGTATAAATTTATAAGATGTATCATAATTCTGTAAGTTAAAGTTGCATAAAAATCTATTATTATCATATGTCACGCACTGCTATTTTACATCAATGACTGGAATAAAGCGAGTTCTCTGAAGAAAAGTCCATTTAAAAAAGGAGTGACGTAAAAATAAATGGTTCCAAGTAACATGACTCAAGTTTAACTATAACGAATTCATTATTAATTAGAAGAATTTCTATACAGTTTTAATTTCAGCAGACATCCGGTATGCAAAATTTGGCAACATTTGTTATTCCTGCATAAAATTCGACAACTGTTACCATCGAGGCGAGTAGTAAGGCACTTCCCTTCCTTCTCTTTCTCTCATATCACAGTTTTATTTTATTATGTTATTAAAAAAAAATGATTCTAAAAGAGATTTGACATTTAAAGAAAGATTTTAATTTTATCTCAAGCTGTACTTTCTGTTCGAAGCTCTGTTTTCCATCCACTCTGATTTGCGAAGGCAACGAGATCTCTCTCGTGGAATCGGCAAGAAGATTACAACGTGTCCCCGGGATTTTTCGTTAATCCCTCTTTGGCCACTCTCTCGCGCCTTGGAATTCCCGTGCTAATCCGGGGCGGTATAACGTGACTTTCGTCCAACTTCTCTCCTGATAGAGAAGCCAGAAGGTAGGTGAGGGCGAGAGGGAGTATCCGTCGGTCGGGAGGAATAAGTTAAACGCCTTCGTGTATATAAGGGGCAGCGCGGGGCGCCGCGCGGGATGAATAATAATGAGGGACATCCAGGGGTGCGGGGGAACACCTTGTCGGGCGTCTTTTCGTAAAAAGGCCGTTAAGGTGCTACCTTAACGATCCCCTGGGCCCCACGCCGCCGTCTCCAGAAGAGATGGGGGGGGGGGAAGAAGGGGGGAGGATCGGTAGGGCCTGCACGTGGAATGCAGACACGTAATGCTCGCAGAATGCGCCCGGGCCGCCGACCGCCGGGAATTATTAGTGGATTCGTGAGAGAGATCCCCTGAATGCAACGGGTCGGAGCAGGTCTATACGCGCAGCATCGGCCGTATATATACACACACGCACGGGGGGGGCGCACAGGCACGAACAGGTACGAAGCGGGGACCTGCCGCCGGGTCCCACGAGGGCCCTGGACCCCCCTTCTCCCCCTTCTGACCCTCCTGATTCGGGCCGTGCAAACCTTTGTTCGCGATTCGACGAGTCCGAAATCGATGCAGGATAAGACTCGCGCGATTAGGAAGGATACTCGGTATATTCCCCCGAAGGATATGACTAAGCGAGAGATTTGGTTGGCCACGACGAATCGAAGGAAAAATTCGATGCGCTTGATCCGGATTTATCTTTGCTTAAAACGCAAGGAGTCGCGGAATTGTCGGTTAGTTAAGACGAAATGAGGTAATCGGGGACGATTGGCGACCGCGAATCGATTTCGATGGCACGGGAAGGAAGAACCGCAGAGACGACGAGCGAGGAATCTGGCTTCTAAACGAAACGAACCGGGGGGGATCGATTCTGTCGTCGCGGCGCGGCGCGGCGCAGCGTGGCCGCCCGTGTGAGAAACTTTTAATTGCGTTCCGCGCGCGAGCGAAGCGGCCCATTTCGTCGGGACTCGGGGTCGAGAACCGGAACGAAGGGACGAGAAGTCGTGGTGTAGGTAGAGGGAAGGTAAGGCGGGGGAGGAGGAAGACGAGGGGGACGACTGCGAAAGAGGGCGGCGAAGCGAACAGCGCGCGAGCGGAGTGCATAACTTATGCGTGTTCGCCGAACGAAGAATTGTCTCGAGGAGGGCAATACGGGGAACAAGCTGGCGCGCGCCGCGTGGAAGACGAATGTGAAAAGCGTCGGGAAAAAGAGGGTAACGACTAAGGCAAACCGACCTGGCTCGCGAAAGGTGTATTTACGTATGTGCGCGCGCGTGTATTTTGCGTACGTCAGATGCGTGCTGAGAAATATCAAATATATTGTATACTTGGGTGAAGCTCGATTAACGGTAAAGTTTATCGTTAAATTTTGCGTGTGCACATATGCTTCAAAATTTTCAACGCGTCGCTTCCCCGCGATCCTCGCGTAGGCATAATTAACGATGACGTAATTAGCAGATCTATTAGCGCTCCGAGATATCGGCCACGGCGCCGGCGTCGAGACGCAAAATCGTTAAAAGGCTCCTTCGATCTCACTCACCTTCTCCTCGAGCCGCGGACCGTCCTCCATCGCGTGCATGATGGCATCCGAAATGCGGGAGTCCAACTCCCTGACGGCGAACCTGACGTTCAGACCGTGGTAATCGGTATTGCTGCTCACCGCCGCGACGAGCCTCTCGACCGTCTCCACGTAACCGGACCACGCGAGATCCAGTTCGGACGCCGGCTCCGTCAGGCAGCCTCTGCAACGTTTATTTGCATTTTCTCTCTCGTGGTCTCTCACAACTCGCGAATTAAGGCCGCCGGTCGCGAGTCACCGTATCGGATTATTATGCTAGTCCAATAATTATAAATCGCTCCGTAATAATTTCCCTGTAACACGGATAATTATGCTCAAAATCTCACGTGGGAAACAGCAATCTCCCGATCCGAGATAATTGTAGATAATTATAATAATTATCAATTCGGTCGCTTTTAATCATCCATCGGGGAGAGGCGATATTACAAGCCTCATTACTCGGTCATGCACAGTTTACCGCGCGTAACGGTCGGTATTTCCCGTATCGTTGCGCCTACCGGAAAAGCGGATTTGTTATACGCCGATAAGATTTTAACACCTCCTTCCCATCCCCTATTAACAATAGGCCCCACGCATTCCGACAATTCCTAGGACTATTCTTATAAACTGGCCGTCACTCACCTCACCACGTTCGTGCAGAATCCGTTGCAGGGTTTTATATCATCTGCAATTCCCATGCATTTGGGACAATAGGTCATCCTAAGCAGGGCATCGTAGCAGGCCTCCTGTTGCGGACTGCTGCTGTCGGTGGCAAATAGCACGTTGTCGGTCTTGTCGAGGACAGTTTTGCCGAGTGTTAACGCCTGCACCAGAATCCTGGTGGCCTCCAAGCTCTTGCCGATCTTCTTAAATATATCCTGGGGCGTGTCGCCGAACGGCTGTATCTCGTCGATCCTCTCGTACAGGCAGGACTTGAACTTGTCGGTGAAATCCTGTCGATCCCCATGCGGATTAATGGCATAATGGTAAGCGATCGGGAAGAGCCGCGTGAAGAACTCGTTGATGCGCTCCTGCAGCGTCTCGCGCGTCAACGGCTGCTGCAGATTGTCCGGGGTGTTGGCGGGCGACACGTAGTCCATCATCGCCTGGTAGAGCCCTCGGATCGATGATCTGCTCTGCACCGCCATCGAGCGGTACACGTGGTCGAACATGATCAGGGTCTTGTTCTCCGACCTCCGCAGCAACACGATCACCGTCTCTGCGCAGATGGCAGAAAGCGCTCTCTTTAATATTTTACAAGCGCGATTTAACGCCTGAAAAATCTCCGTCCATTTGCCGCAACTCGATGTCGAGGTTCGCGTAATCCTCGAATCGGAGACCGGAAAAGTATTGGAAGCTCGACATTTTTGGAACTCTCGAGATTTCTCCGTCGTCGAGTGTTCAATATATATATATATATATATCATTTCTAGTATGTAAGTCAAAAAGAAAAGGTGTGTTTTATTCTATCTAAGAAATGAAAGAGAAAAATGTGTTCTATTCAAATAGAGAAAACATTTCTAAGAACCTTAAGGTGATAAAATAACAAAGCAGCGTCTTTGTATTCCTATTCATTGTAAGAGAAGATTAGACGGCAACAATAGCGGAGATTAACTTTTAACATTCTTTTCGCGCGAATGCCATTTTTCGGTCCGAAAAAAAAACGCAGATAAAACGTATATTGTTTAGTGGAAAAATATTTTCTCTTTTGAAAACTCGTCTTTGGTTAGGTCCGTTTTGTTTGTACTGACAAAGTTAAGAAACTTGAAATACCTGAGGAAAAGATTATACTAAAATATCAAAAGAAAAAATTGCTCGGGATCAAAAGAATAAAGATAGTCATCCCCGATACAAGCTTGTATATATATACGCGTCAGCGGTTTAGCCTTCCCTGTTCCCTTTTCCTCCGTTAGTTCTTCTAATCTAACTCGATCAAATAATTCCTCATGCAAATCCACCCACTTGAGATTTCGTGAGTGGAACGAGAAGAAGAGCGCCGTGCTCGTGACGGACTGAGAAAGAACGCGGTCGCACTTAATCCGTGCGAACGCGTAAAACGAAGAAGACGGACGATAAGTGCTCCTCGATTCCCGCTTTGGTTTCAAGTGGCCTCGGCCAAGAATCTATGCGCGGCCTAGGGACGTGCATCTTGCGGCTCTAATGATATTATCAAGAGAAGTGGCGATCGGCCAGGGACAAGAAGGTCCGCCGATTATATCTCTATTTCGATAATATCGATTTATTGGGATTAAAGCAGATGTGTATATATAAGCGTCACGCGTGTAAACGTTAAAATATGTGATATCAAAAATGCATTATGTTTAATAATGCACAATAAATTGCAGCTAAATCAATTACGTAGATATATACGGTTGTATAAAAATGTATATTTATATATTAATTAAAAATATATTTATTATATATCATAATTACACAATACAATATATGAGGTAGGCAACCATGAGATTTCGAAAATTCCATCGGCGGCCTCGATGCATAACCGAGCGAGGGCCATTTCGAAATGCTGCCGTTTCTCTTGAAAATATGGTTCTCTCTCCTCGCGAAACATCACGCACGATACTGAAATTGGACTCACCGAGAATATATACCGGTTCCGATATCTGATTTGCGACATTGCGCTCCAGAATTATGCTGCGCGAACGAAAGTCGTATCCGCGTTTCCCACCGGGATCGCAACGGAGCGGAGAGTAATTTATTTTTAAATGGATATGTCTTGCGCGGTTGTGAGGCGACTAAAATTAACGACAAATAAAAATACGCGTTGCGATATCCCGCAGCCGTCGTCTTTCGTCGTTTCTCTCTTTCCCTCTTTCTTTCTCTCTCTCTCTCTCTCTCTTTCTCTTTCGATAGGGCAACAGACATTTACTTTCCTCCTGTGAAACATTATTTGTCGAGCCAGATCATACCCAAGTTAATTCAGACTTCAAAGGCGGTATCGCGTGCGACTACTCGGATTTGTTTTCCTTCAATTACCAAGATTCCATCGAATGGGGAGAAATAAAATCGGCAATGGCCACGCGTGTACGTCCTTTTAGGAAATTACATCGATCCTATTCAAACAAGCGTAAAAAATCGAAGTATTCCTTCGAACCCAAGTTTCTCTTTATTGATAAGACAGATACGAAGATCTCTTCTCCCGAGATACCACACAATGTTAGTGATGGTATAACATTTAAAAGACAAAAATACAAATTTTAATGTATTTTATAAAGAATGTAAAAAATGTCTCGTAAAGTGTAAATAATTTTAATATTTAATATATTAGAAATTTTGATGGATTATATAATAGTTTAGATTTTTAGATAGATTAATAATATCCGAAAAGTTCCTTGAGAGTTTCTTTTAAGTAAAAAAGTATCATACAATTTATATATGTGAAGCGCAATACAGAAATGCATTAATTTTAAACAATTTTATCCACGATCGATAGATGCAATGTTCAAAATAATTCATTAAAAAGTTATCAAGAAATTCTCAAATGTAGAAACGAATCTCGTAAATTTAGATATATTTTTCGTATCAAGACAGCGCTTAAATTTACGCAATTGCACACTGTTAAATATTAAAATATGAAACTTAAATCAATACCTTGAGTTAAATAACATTTTGTTATTTTTAACTACTATGTGTGTCAAAATATATTATTTAAACTCCATTAATTTAGTTAAGTTTACATTGTTTTAATTAAATTAACGACATGTTGAGTATAATCTGACACTACGAATTTAACAGTGTACATCGCACAATCAATTTCTAATACAAAAAAATAAAAAGTTGCCAGTGAAACGGCAACAAACTGCATATATTATATCCTTTATTACTCTATTGCTATTCAAAAAAACTTAGAAATATGATAAATTTGTTAAAGCAGGCTAACTGCGATTCGCGAAGGATCAGTTTCCGCGCGGCCCATCACGAAAAACATATCGACGCACTCGTCGTCCGCGAGGATACAAACATTTGCAGGCGTAGAGAAAAGAGAGAAAGAGAGAGAGGGAGGAAACACGTTTTTCGCGGTATCGAAAATAGCAGAAAGCGGAGGCTGCGCTTGAATTCTAGACGCCGCGTTACCGAGGCAACGACACGCGCTTCGCGAACACGCCGCCTCCGCCTCGCGTTTCCGCGCACGCTCCGCCGCCTATCATCCTCTGTCTTACCTCGTTTTCCGTTTCTGCCCGAGCGCGCGCGCGCGCGCGCGCGTACCGGTTAGCGCGTATCCTCGCGTATAAATACCGAACTGACGACGTAATCGCGATGACTAAAGGAAACCGCGTACGGCCGAATCGCTCGATGTTGAAATTCGGTCCCGCGAGGTCGAAAAAAAAATGTTTCTCTGAAAGTCGAAAAGCGGAGAGCCGGAGAGAGATGAAATCATCGTCCCGTTTGTCCCGGGGTGAAATAAAAGCAACGCAACGATCTGTCATCGCGCAATGGGAATAAAATGATACGCGGCAAATTGAAAGTAATAAAGCGGGTAATGTAGAACGATGAAGATGAATCACTATTGACATCGCGCGTTAATTTCTCGTATGCAAATTCCGCTCGCGGCTCGAGATGAGGAGTGACATGTTTGGGCGGCCGATCTTACGCGCGAGGCCGACGCGGGAATTAAGGAGATAGATCGGCCGAGCGACAGGGAGGAAAGGGAGGTATAAGAATCGAGGAGAGAAGGGATAGCGCGGTTCGCTTTCTTGTCCCCGTATAAGGCGGCACGCCGGAGAGCGACTCCGATTCTTCACCTTCGAGGGAGTCCCGCGGAGAGTCTTCGAGAATGAGAGAAAGAGAGAGAAAGAGCCGGAGCTCTCGAAATCGTCCACGATAATTATCGAGGCTTTCAGGGTGCAGGAATCGCGGATACGATGAAAGCCGATAGAGGCATCTTTTCAGGGAGAGAAGTCGTCCCTTCCTCCCTTTTGTCGAACTTTTGCCGATACACCGGCCAGGAATCTCCATAAATCAAAGCTGAAGGGCTAGCGAAGAGCGCTGAAAACCCTGTTTCTAATGACAAAACACCGGAAACGAAGAATAAACCACCGGCCACTCTATCGACGTTCCAGGGTGTCTTTACGGGCAGGACAGAAAACTGAGAATTTTATATATACTTCGGAGGATACACTCGACACGGTTATTGACACGGTAGTGCTCTTCTTTCCTCCTCGAAGTAATTTAATTATTTAGTAACTGCGGACCTCGTGCCCTTTCTTCGAAAGAAATTCAAAACGTAAATTTGTTCGCTACACATAGAGTCCAAAAATAGGTATATTCATTTACCGCCAAGATTGGAAGCACTTTACTTTACTTGAAAGTCTTTACTTAAATCTTTCGCGGAGTTGGAAATTTGCGTTATTAATTTTTAATTTGTTTTCGCTGTCGACTACACATTATATTATAATGCGATATCAAATCCAAGAGTCATCAAGTCGCCTGATATTTCGTAAAAGTTGAAACTATTCTTTATAAGCATCATGTTAAAAATTGATTCCACGTGTCTTTTATTTTATCAAGTTGGTTCTAATTAAATTGCTTATTAAATCGTCTTTAAGGGAGAGATTTAATTATCTAGTAGATAAGTTAAGGTAAACAAGGTCACAAATAAAATAATTTAATGGACCTTCCAACGACGAGAATTAATAGACGTCAGTGAAAATAGGAGGATAAAAAATGAAGTGTTTTTATCAAATAAGCATTTTCACAGGTAACCCAGTGCAACTGAATACGTTAGTACAGATTTGTATTAAGCATACGTTTACTCGTCTAAAGTCTTAAGTATTCAGTCAGGCGGCGAACGCGTTAGAATGCAGTTCTAAAAGGTGGAGTATAGCCTACCTCTGAGAGCGTCGGCGGTGGTGGCGAGGAGGCCTTGTAGACTTCTACTGTGATGATGGATCAGATCGTGGAACTCCACCCGGGCTTGTTGCTTCAGACGCTCCTCCATCTCTTCGCCGCAGCACTTGCCACCGCATCTCGCTGAAAAGGAGAAATATTTCGCTTTATTATCGCGCAACGTCACCCATTAAAGTTGCGTACCTCCCCCTTACGGGCTCCCCCTTTTTGCTCAGCCGAAGTTAAATCGAATTGGGGACACCGAGGGGGAGGCCCCTCTCCCGAGAGTCCCGCGTTTAAATTGCGTTAAACTCTGGCGTAAGCTCGTGATATAAGAGTTCGGTGATCTGACCTGTATTCGCGGAAAATCACGGTCCACTGAAAAAGACCTCCCCCCCCCCCCCCCCCGGATGTAAATGAAATCTGAATCGCGGAATCTCTGTAATCCGACCGAACGGTAATTCTATTATACCGAATTGTTTTATCACGCACAGGGAATTTTATTTTAAAATCGAATTAATCGGGCTTTTCATCTTTCCACGCGCGCAATTTCACGTTCGTATGTATCTCGTACGGATATCCGATGTATCGGGTATTAACTGCGCGTTATTTACAATTCCGCATTGGCATTTTCCGAAAAGGACATCGATACTCAAATGGCACTCTGCGAATCGGCACTTAATATTTCCAGAATTTCCGATATAGTCAGTGGAATAATGTGATGCGAACAATTCTAAAAGTCCTCCCATGTTTGAAAAATAATTTCAGCGAATATAAACAGAATAAGAATCGAGAGGTGCCAATCTCGAGAATTACCAATTACTATAATATTAATCACAATTAATTTGAGCCACGGTAAATAAGGACTCGAGAATGCTCATGCGGGATTATTCAGAATTTTCGCGAAAATGCCAGAAATTTACCGAAAGGTAGCTTTCCAACGCGTGGGAAACTTGGAGAACAAAATCCACGGCGAAATCCAAATAGCTGCTCCAATTCAGCGCTCGCTACATTTGCATATTAAATACTACGAGCTTGCCCATATAGCGCGTTATACATTAATATTCGCGTAAGGCAATATTAACGCTTCCGCGCTGATAATTTTGACCGGGATCAGAAAATACGCGGCGCGGCGTCGCGAACGATCGAAATCCCGCGGTGACGTGCATTCCTCTTTGCCTGCGAGCGAACCGGTTTCGCGACCGAACGCCGCCGCGTCGAATTTAAAAATATACGGGTACACAGCGCGAAATAAAAGTACGAATGAATATAGAAATCGGTAATTAAATGCAGAGACGAGTGTAAAAATAAAAGAAAAGACAAGTAGGTGAACGTATAAGCGAATATAGAAGTAAATGTAAAAGTTCCGGCGAGCAGATTGGCCGGTTAGCGATTGTTAAATTAAATTGATTTGGAATATTTGGAATGTATATTAGAAATAAAAAAAAATTTAATGGAGAGAGCAGACGGGGTTCAGTCGGGCAACAAGGCTAACACGAGTCAACTCACAAATGAACGTGACAAAGAAAAGAGAAAAAGATATAGAGATATACATATATATAACGTGTGTGGACGTTGATCTACATATAATTGTATATATATACATATATAATTACTTATGGAGACCGTTGATTTTCCCTCTGGGAAGCAAAACGTTACCGTTACCTTCGGATTCGAGATTCGTAATAACTCTCCCCTCTTATTTTTAGGCCGTTAAAAATAAGACGTTTCATAAACGACCAACTCGCGAGATTAATGGAAAAAGAAGCGCGCGTTATGCAATGCGGCGCGTTGCGTTGGAGTCGCGTTAGCCAATAGGATTAATTCCGATGTTCCGAGAAGCATCATAAATTACGCGATCAACAACAAGGAAGCGGTCAGGGGACACGATGAAAAATCGTTGGAAAAGAGAGGCGAGCTCGCGAGCGACACGAGGCGATGTCGCGAACGATTTTACGGATCGATTTTTGACACTGGAAAATCGTTGTGCCTTGTGCCGCGCGTCAAACTTTCCTCTTGCCAAATCTCCGCCTTCCTCGGAGTCAGTTCATGCGGAATCGACATGCCGGCGATCTCGGCGGATCCTCGCATTCAAATTTATTCGAAGTATCCGAATTCAATTACGTAAATATTTGCAATCTCAATTCCGCGCGTAGAGCTTTATAATAAATTCTGTATGAAATCCCGCACCTGAAGGGGCGGGGGAGAAATCAAATCTACCGACGAAACTTGTGGTCGTAGTATATATCTCGGCAAGTATCGAGTTTACTTCATCGAATTCCGCGGCGGAATAAAACGAAAATATTTTTCACGCAAAATACTATAATACGATTCTGTTTCACGGTATTTGATAACTGCGATAATTTTTCAGATTAATTTACTACGGCATTTTTCAAATTAGTTTCGCGTAATTAGCGAAGCAAAATGCCCGTTTATTCGACAACGAGTATATATAGCACCTGCCAATCTCTCGATCCCGTGAAAATTCGCGAACTCGCGCATTTAAGAGGAAGAATAGGATAATTTGCATGCGAAACGCGTGATGCAAATTTATGCACGCAGAAATCATACCTTCCAACGTGAAATATCGATCGCGACTGTATACTGAATGTGAGAACAACATTAATATTAATGATATCAAACATCGAATATTAATTGCGCGTAACATCAACAGTTTTGATAATCCCTTAAAATAGTCGTGGGTATTATTGATATTAACATGACAGAGTGTGTTAATGTCGGGAACTATTAATGTCAGTGGTAATACAAGTACTACTGATAATTACTGCCCAATTAATGGAAATTACTATTCGAAGTCGTCGCGAGCGAGCTGTTAAAAATATTCTAACTTGAAGCGAACGTCGACTTTCAAGACAAATTCAATAATCCCAACACCGAGAAAAGAAATTACATACTTTGACGAGCGAGACTCGCGGTGAACTTTCGTTTCATAAAAAAA